GGTAACATTTACAAAAGACACATCAGATTTTTAAAAAATGTTTTATGGGCCAGAGAGATAGCACAGCAGGCAAGATTATTGTCTTGAATGCTGCTGAATGAGTTTCAATACCTGTATCCCATCTAGTCTCCCAAGTTCCAAGTGGAATGGTCCCTGAGAGCAGAGCAGGGGTAAATAAATGCTAAGCCCCCCTGGCTATAGCCCCCAAACAAAAAACAAGAATTATTTTATAAAACTGTATAAGAAACTTTTAAAAACAAAATGGTATAAAATTTAACACAATTATAAAGAGGACCAATTATATTAAAAAACATCATACCAAAAGAAAAAAGAGATACATAAAAAATAGGCATACAAAAAGATCCTCTACATCATATATCATTAAGGTAAAGGTAAAGACCCTCCCGTTGATCGTCGATTTGCTCGAGCGGGCCCAGTAACGTCTTCATTGGAGACTTTGTTGTTACTGTGTCTGGCATATCGAATACTCTCGGTAGCTTGCCAGGCTCTCCGAGAGGGGCGGAGGAATCGATCTCGGGTTGGCCATGTTGGCCGCTTGTAAGGCGAACGCCCTACCCGCTGTGCTATCGCTCATTGGAAAAAAGAAAAATGCAAACAAGATACCACATTACAACTGTAGGAATGGTCAAAATATTTCACACTGACATTACATGTTGTTGAGGTTGTGAACAAAAGGAATTCTTATTCATTTAAAGTGAGAATGCAAAATATTAGCATCAGTTTAGAAAATAGTTTATGGTTTCTTACAAAACATACTTTTCTGTATGACGAACACAACCTTTTTGTATTTCCTGAAGTGGGTGGAAACTTTTGTCCTTACAAAATGTACATGGAGGGGATAATAATATTCCAATACAATGGAATATTATTCAGTGTTAAAAGGAAACCAGCTTTCAAATAATGAAAAGACATTGTTATTTTTTTTAAGTGGGGGGACATACCGGGCAGTGCTCAGGGATATTGCTTATTATGCACTCAGGAATCACTCCTGGCAGGTTCAGGGGACTACAGGGGATGGGGTGGATCAACCAACCCCTCTCGGCCACATGCAAGGCAAGTACACTTGCTGTACTTTCTCTCTGGCCCTACCTAACATAGAGAAATCTTAAATGCATATTACTATGTAAAAAAGTGAATGTGGAAGAGCTATTATGACTACACAATATTCTGGAAAAGCATAGACCATGAATACAATAAAAAGGGAAGTTGTTATAAGTGTTTAGGGGAGAAAGAATAGGAAAAGTATAAAGGATATTAGGGACAATGAAAATGCTTTGTATGTCACCCTAATGATGAATATAAAACGTTTGTCCAAATCTTTACAATGCACAAGTGATTAATGATGTAAATAAAGTATTGACTTTGGTGGTTATGTGTCAAAATTAATTCCATTCATTAATTGGCACAAATGTACCACTCACGTGGGGACATTGGTAATGGGGTGTCAACACATATGTGCATGTGTAGAAGCACCGAGTATATGGAAATGTCTGAACTTTCCTTTTATGCTTCTTTTTTTGTGAAACTAGTTTCTGTATAATTCTTCATGTTCTAAGTGAGAACCTTAAAAATGACTGCATAATACAATGTCAATGTACCTATAATCTGATACAGAAAAGCAGTTCTTTTCTAGATTCTTCTTATTTAAATAGAAGCAAGACATAGCTGCCTTTTTCATGACCCTTTGACTAGAGAAGATAATATTCTTCTGGCCTGTTTTGTCTGAATCTGTAAGTGTCCTCACTTGCAAGTCTAGGACAAATTAGATGAAAGAAACTCAGGAAATTTATCATGGTTTCCTTTACGTCCCCCAAATCCTTGAAAAACTTGCAGGACATTTTCTTTTGTTTTTCTAGGGTCATACCTGGCGATATTCAGGGGTTACTTCTGGCTCTGCACTCAAGAATTACTTCTGGTGGTGTTCCTGGGATCATATAGAATTCTGGAGTTCAAACACAGATTGGCCACATGCAAGGCAAATGCTCCACACTCTGTCTTTCTCTCCAGCCTTTCAGAAAATTCTTAAATATGTTTACTTACATAATCTAGAGATTTTTAGCTTTGCATTGTCTATAAAATAGGGAAAAGTAAGTCTATGCAATTTTTTCACGGTGAAAAAATCTCACAATTAATTTTTCTTTTTTCATTTTAGTAAATACTGACTGTGTTTCACTTCAGTAGTAGTACCACACCAGGTCAGACAATGAGCTTTTAATGTATAGCAAACAAAGCACTCTGTGTGAAGTTTAGCCTTCAATCTTTTGAGTTTTGGTAAAGCAATTTTATCTCTCAACACTTTGGAAGAAGAATTTTGCATACTTGCTCTAGATGGACCTATCTTTAAGTTTTGGGGTTGCCTTTTCTTCGGGCAAGAATCATTTTTCTATCTGCCTCCTTTGTAATCCAACTCTCTCCCCCATTCAATGCACCAGACTATTAGGAACCAAACTGGTTCTGATCATTCAATGGTTTTGACGTAGCAGAACAAAAGTTTATTTCCAAGGGCAACAGTTGGTAATTTTTATTTCTGTAATATGTACATAATTTGAAGGAAATGTTTCATGGATTGTGAGTGTTTAATAGATCATTATTGTTATTTTTGTTTTGGGCCACACTCATTTGTGCTCAGGGTTTACTCCTGGCTCTGGGTTCAGGGATCGCTATTGGTGGTTGTCTGGGCACTGGGAATCAAACTCATGAATCAGTATTATGCAAGACAAGTACCCTACCAAATGCACTATCTCTCTAGGCTTCTAAACGATCATTTTTAAAAGGGTTCTAATTTACCAAGAATGAGATTTTTGTTTTCTTTTAGTTTGTGTTGGAGTCACATTCTGTAGCACTCAGGGCTTGCCTTTGACTCTGTGCTCAGAGATTCCTTCTCATGAGGTTCGGGGACCATGTGTGATACTAAGGATCAAATGTGGGTCATTTAAGTGCAAGTGAAGCACCTTATCCACTGTCTTCTCTCTCTCTCTCTCTCTCTCTCTCTCTCTCTCTCTCTCTCTCTCTCTGGCCCACGTAAATCTTACTGACGTCACTTATTTTACTGCCTAGAGAATTAAAGATCTCAAGTCATCTACATTTTACCAAATTCTTGCCAGAGAGATTCCATTGGAAATGTGTTGAGAAATGCAAGATTTTCTTCAGATCCATTCCCTGCTTTTCACTATTGGATTTTTTTAAATAACTGCTGTATCACCTTTATAGATCAAATTCCACAGTGTCCTTACTGAATTGGATTCCACTTAGTCTGCAATAAGAAGGCATTTGGGAGGAATTAAAAAACAGTAATATGGAAAAATACCCCCACATATACTTTTGCTCTGATTTGGGAGTAACTGACACTTTGTGGCTAATATTATTATTGTCTATTATTGAATAACTTAACCTTTTACTCAAGATTCTTCATTTGTAATTCCTGTTTCCAGAATTATGATAAGACTACTAACTTCTTTTGTACCTTTGGTTCCAAGAATGGTGATAATACTTGGTTTCAATCAACTCACTTAAATAATCACTATGATATTTTTTATTATCCTTCATTATTGCTATAAATAATATGTATAGTAATACATATTATTATAATATGCTATAATAATAAGAATTAGAAAACAGTATTTTTCTTAAAGCCTGTAAAATAATTCAAGGTTAACTGTCTATCTCAGTGAAAATTCTAAAATTACATCATAAAGTGAAGGCAGATTTTTAAAATTTGAGTTAATAATGCTTAGTTCCCTATACTATTCTGAGAGAAATATCATAAAAGGTGTTCAGCTCTGACTTCAAGTAATCAGAGGACTGAGCTCTATGGCTCCTAAAATTTTTACCCTCTCTTATGCTTCTCTTTCATGGAATTTTGTGATGTGTGTTTTTGGGGAGACAGTGAGGTGAATGGAAGATGACGTGATTTCTGATATAAGAAAGTTTCTTTCCACTCATGCAACCCAGAAGAAATCTCTTGTCATTTATTCTGACCAGTTAGCTTTTATCGACATTTTCATCTCTTAATTTATAACAGTCAATTTCCCAATTGTTTTTGAAAAAGATTTCAATCATCTTGTCAGTTAAAATAAAATTTTAGTGCATTCTCTGATATCTTTTCCTCTTGTGAACAAAAAGTTTATTAGTCAATACTATGGCTATCTGGATCTGATGGTCTCCATTTGGGATATGCTAAAACTCTAACTTGTTATAACTAATTTACCAGATAGGAATTTGAAAGGAAAATAAAAGACCATAAAACAATTGACTATATTTAAAGAAGAGTCCATAGATATCATGTAATTCTAATGTATTTTGCTTTTTTAAATAAATACATAAAGATCTTTAGTAATTCCTCATTATTTTGATTAACATGATAATAAAATCTTTCAGAGTATCATTATGCCAATTTTCACAGCCTGATGTAAGAACTCAATCCATAGAAATAATCATAACTAACACTAATAGATGAATGCCAGTGCAATGATACAATATAAGGCATATTTACACCATCTAAACATCAGAATACCATATACATACACAGAAAATTCACAAATCCAGAACAAAGAAAATTCAGGGTACATTTATAGGCTTTGTCTATAACTTTTTTTGGGCTTTATTTTTATTTTTTTCTTCCAAGCAACAAATATATCTTCCCTATGTCTTGTGATTTATTTGTAACATTGTACTCATGCAAAAATAATACTTGTTTATCGCATTATCATTTAAACAGCTTTGGATTTGGGTCCTAATATCATCATCTAAAATTTAACTTGATGTTACTTCTTCCATAGTGTCATTTTAATTGAAGTGATAAGATGATTTGTTTTTGGTGAGTTACGGAAACAGAGACATAACCAGTTGACCACAGTTCAAAAAAAAAAAAAGGATTCTAAGCTTCTTGGTCATGCACATTTTACTTTCATTCTTGCCAAATGGATGAATCATATGTAACATTATGATTCATATATTAAAATGTTAATTCATTTTAAAATCATATATCTATAAACAGGAATCAAATGAAATGGAAAGAAAATAGTGTCCCACATCCACTGTTCACACAAGAAAAGAAGAGCAGCTAGAATCACACTGACCATTGTTAGGACATAGTCAGGCGGTGACACTGTAGTAAACATTGACATGTCATTGAAATACTGCAAGCATGTGATCATTACTATAACCCATACTTCTGTAACAGTTCAGATTGCCACTGACGTTTGCGCTCTGGAAAATAATCAGGGATGTGGATTTTTTTAAAATCCTGAATGCACTTTTTCATTTCTTCTTCCACACTGAGCTTCTCAGAGACTTTCTTTTTGGAAAGATTTGTTTCCCGGGACTTGCTGATGAGTGTCTGAAATAGTTCACTGTTTCTGCGTTTGTCTGGTGGGGGCATCCATTGCACTGGGGCTTTTTTGGAAGGACGATCCAATGTTAAAGTGTTAGGTTGGTGGGATGTTGCCTGCTGCGCATTGGGTGGGTTGTCCTGGGGCGTGCTGGCCTCTGAATGGCTGTCACAACTAGATGTGGAGAGCTCATTACAGGAAGTACCACTTTCACTTCCTTTATCTGCAACATTGTCATGTTTCCTATCTTCATGTTCTTGTTTAGGCGATACTGTTTTCTGAGGTGGCCCTAAAGAAGAAGAGGGAAAGGTATATCAGTTGAATATAAACAAGTAAACAAATAGGAACATCCAATTATCTTTTATTGTTTGGTTTTTAGGCAAAACCCCCAAATTCCTATAGCTTATTCCTGACTCTGAGCTCAGGGATCACTCCTGGCAGTGCTCAGCCAGTGGGTGGAATCTGGGTAGGATGAGTACAAGGAAAGCATGTTTCTGAAATTAAACTTTGTCTTTTCTACTTTAAACCAAGAGCAGGGGGACTGAGCGATGGTACAGACAGGTAATGTACTTGCCTTGCACGTGGATGACCAAGGCTCAATCCCTGGCATCCCTTATTGTCCCCCATCTGCCCTCATCCCCAGCACTACCTGAGTGCAAAATCAGGAGTAATACCTGAGCATCACTGGCCCCCAAACAAACAAATGAAAAACCAAAAAAAAAAAAGCATGTATCTTAAGATGAATATGGTAGTTGTTCTATTTTATATTTAAGTAATTATCTGCAATACCCAACATGTTAGTGTACAATGAAATGAACAGTATATGCCGTCTAATTATTACAACAATAGAGTTCAGAGTTTTGATTAAAGACCATTTATACCATTATAGGTCATCAATAACTCCATTTAAAATATTTCAGTTACTAGTTTCTGAAATCAAAAAAGATATATATATAATATAGAATATATATTATATATAGAGAGATTTTTCTGGCATTCCTGTCTAGTTAGGGACATCCTTTATTTTTACCCTCACTGTTGGCACTGGGTTTCCTTGTATATATGTATTTTTACAATATAAAAGAAGCATAGTTATAATTTGTCTATTTTGAAAAGTAGCAGTATTTTCAATGCTCAGAGGCACAAAAGCCATCATTTATGTGTCCAAATGGGAGGCTACTTTAAATATTACTCTCAGTCTCTTAATCTTGTTTCCTGTCCATTTCCTTAGAGGGAAATATTAAGTGCTTTAAGATATATAGTCACCTATATATTATGATGAGCAATATAGCTGATATATAGTATTGTCTTATAATGCAAGACTTACTATTTCAGGTATATTACCAAGGAGAACAATTTTCAGAAAGTGCTAATTTGTCAAGAAAATTATTCTTAGTATACAAACTGTTTATTTCCAAGAAGGAGCATATTTAACTCTTCTTGACTCTTTGGGATTAGATCAACCATTTAACATTTATTGAACACCACTATATACCAAGATTATAATAAATTATTGATTAATAGGAAACCATCCATTCAGAAATGTTGCCCTAACGTTCTTATTTTTCTTGTAGTCAACTTTATGAAAAAGTTATGTAAATTAGAATGAATGCAAAGGCACTATTATCTTAAAGTAATTATCCCAGAAATAATGTAGATTTCCATGCAGCCAGAGTTGAAAAGAATTTGTCAATTCATAGTCTCAGCCTTATTTACATATTGGAATTACCTAGAAGGCTGTATATTACTGAAGCTTTAGTCTTGATTCCAGGCAACCTCTTTAAAAGATGTGTCACTTGGTCATGAGACTTTTCAATAAATATCGGTGATTTTAGTGTATAGTTAAGATTAGAAGTCTCTGAGAGTTAATAAGCAACATAAGTGTTGAAATTGCTCAGAAAGATTTCGAACAAATAAACAAAATATTTTCTCATACAAGTGCCTATGTAAAACATATTTTTAGATGTTAGCACCAGATCCTTCCTTCCTTCCTTCCTTCCTTCCTTCCTTCCTTCCTTCCTTCCTTCCTTCCTTCCTTCCTTCCTTCCTTCCTCTTTTGTTTACAATGAGAAGAAATGAAAACTGATACCAAAAATTTAGTAAAGTGGAATTACATATTGTAAAGTAAAGTAAAGTAAAGTAAAGTAAAGTAAAGTAAAGTAAAGTAAAGTAAAGGCCCTCCCGTTGATCATCGATTTGCTCGAGCGGGCCCAGTAACGTCTCCATTGGAGACTTTGTTGTTACTGTGTTTGGCATATCGAATACATCACGGGGAGCTTGCCAGGCTCTGCCATGCAGGCGAGATACTCTCGGTAGCTTGCCGGGCTCTCTGAAAGGGGCGGAGGAATCGAACTCGGGTCGCCATGTTGGCTGCGTGCAAGGCAAATGCCCTACCGCTGTGCTATCGCTATTGTAAAATTGTTCAGAATTTTTTAGAATAGAAATATACTACTGTCAATGCCTGCTACATGTGCAAAAGTGAAGAAATTGCACGGGTAAAATTATTTTTTTCACAAAATGGATGAATAAAAACTTTCATAAAGATTTTCCTGTATTAAAATATTTTCTATGTCTTTGCTGATCTAACAAAAACACACTAAAATACCTTAAAGAATATGAATTTATCAGAGGGAAGAACTTGACTAATATTTCAATTTCTATTTCCTGAAATAAATTAAAACTAAAACAAATACTGATTTCTATGAATATTTAGAAATAAAACATTCAAATGCACTTAAGAAGCATTTAAAATCATGGAATATTTCAACAAAATTATTTTATTTTTTAATAACACCACTATTATAATTTATTACTGGAATGTGGGTGATTCAGAAGACTGAAATAGAGAAAAAGTACTTCTAATATACTTCCTGAATTACCCAGATCTATTCTCCACAGACAAAAGGACAGGGTTATTTTACTTATATTGAACTTAAGGATTAAACTGCAAATATCTAAAAAACCAACTTATATTTAAGGATAAATGTGTGCTGAGAAATCACTGCCTCTTAATAGAAAATGGCATATATTATTATATAAAGTTACCCTGGCAAAAAGTAATAACATAAATCAATAATAAAAAGGGTGCCAGTTGCCACATAAGCAAATGTTTCATTCTATTCTTATTCACTGGAGAAATGCTTAATGCTATAAGCATTTTTATATTACTTGACACAACAGTATAATTTCTATGGCAGATACATAAGGTCTATATCCTATATAAAATATACATAGCTATTATGCTTAATAAATTTATAATTGTTTCATGGAAATAAGACTTTTTATGCCTCTCCATATATATATATACATACATATGCATATATATAAAGATATAAAATCCTCAAAAATACAATAGAATGCATACTTGTGATGGAAATAAAATTATTCTTGAATTGTAAGATGGAAGATCAAGAAAGATTTGAACTGATAAGTTTAGACAATGGAGTTTTATTGTGAATCCAGTATGTGGCAGGTGCCATATTAGGATTCAGAAAAAAAAGATAATCATGAATAGGGAAGTTTGCAGTTTTAATAAACTCTGTAGGCTCTTTCTACTTAACTTCAAGTAGGTAAGGACAAAAAATACAGGGAAAAAATACATGTTCAAGGCTAAGAAACTCTAATTTTCTGCTTTAAATAAGGATCCATTTTACTCTTTATGGGCCCCACTTTAATTTCTCACACTAGATTTTTGTTTACAGTTCTTTCTCCATTTCCTTTGCCCCTCTTAATATCAATGATCTTTCAAATACCAAAAGTCACTGTCACTGTCCTCCTGTTGTTCATCGATTTGCTCACGCTGGCCCAGTAACATTGTGAGACTTGTTACTGTGTTTGGCATATCGAATTCCTCACGGGTAGCTTGCCAGGCTTTGCGGTGTGGTCAAGATACTCTCAGTAGCTTGCCATACTCTCTGAGAGGGGCGGAAGAATCGAACCTGGGCCGCCCAGTTTGGCTGCATGCAAGGCAAACGCCCTACTAGCTATGCTATCTATACACACATATTACATATAATTGTTCTTTGATTAAGCATACTGATATCACTGTGGATAACTTGGTGAATTAAAATTGGGAATAAAATACAATTATAAAATGATTTATGTGTTTTATGACATGGAATTTATGAAAAATAAATTTAGAAGAAATAATGACTTAATCTGTTTGCTTGGCTTTATTTCAAATGTCATCTAATTATAGGCTTCTAGGGATAGTTTAAATCTTTAATTTTACATCATTCTATTCAATGAACCAGAGCCTCTATGAGACGCCTTAAGCATAGCAAGAATGATAAAGTTAAATAACACTTAGTCCTGTAAATAAAAGAACAAATGGCTGCCAGAAATTTCTGTTTCTATAACCAGTAATAGAATAAAATACATTATATATACATATATTTGCATACATACATATATATTATTTACATATTGCTTGGGTTGGAACGATAACACAGCAGTAGGGCGTTTGCCTTGCATGAGGCCAACTGGGGTGACCTGGGTTCGATTCTTCCGCCCCTCTCGGAGAGCCCAACAAGATACCTAGAGTATCTCACATGCACGGCGAAGGTTGGCAAGCTACCCCTGACATATTTGATATGCCAAACACAGTAACAACAAGTCTCACAATGGAGACATTACTGCGCCTGCTCGAGCAAATCGATGAACAACGGGAGGACAGTGACAGTGACAGTGACATACTGCTTGCCAAAATTATATAGCCCTTCAAGTTACTTGGGCTTCTTTCTATCATGTAAAGAAACTGATCTTGGGGGGACTGAAGCCATAATACACCAGGTAAAGAATTTACTTTGCATGTGGCCAACCAAAGATCAATCCCTAACATCCTATATGTTCCTCTGAGCACCATCAGCAGTAATTTCTGAATGCAGGACCAGGTGTAACTCCTAAGCATGTCAGGTGTGGCTCCCTGAAAAAATAAACAAAAACTCCAAATTAAACCACAAACCTTATATCTAATCAAAAATTAAGCATAAACTATATCTAATCTCATATGTATTTAAGATTTTATTTTTTAAAAAAAAGGACCAAACATGACTGCCACTCAATGCCTCTCTTGCAAAACACAGGACCCAAAAGAAGAGAGAGAGAACAAGGGGGAATGCCCTGCCACAGAGGCAGGGTGGGATGGGGGATTGGGGGGTGGGAGGGATGCTGGGACCTGTGGTGGTGGAGGATGGGCGCTGGTGGAGGGATGGGTACTTGATCATTGTATAACTGAAACTCAAGCACAAAAAGTTTTAAGTCTATAACTGTACCTCATGGTGTTTCACT